GGCTGCACATGACACGCCTGTACGAGTCAGTGTTCGATATATCAGCTGACTCGCACGCTGATTGGCTTTCTGGTTTAGCTGAGTGCATCAGGCTATCAAGCGGCTATCCAGACTCGGGTTCACGGTATTAAGTTATTAGGAAAACTGTGGTCCACAACATGACATTACTCATTTTCTGAGCCACTTGATAACTTTAACAGACATTTTTACTTTACAGATGAGGTCAACTATTTTGTGCACTTTTCTGGCTTTTATGAATGGTATGATGTGAAAAGCTGTTAATGGTACCCGGATTCACTAAAGTATGTATTTGAAATTTCCTCTTAAGTCTTTAAGCTTTTCTTTATCCCAAGCTACTATTTGGAGTAATGTTTCCAAAAGTGAAGACATAGATATAAAAGGCTGTTGCTTTGTCGAAATTAGGGGAATGAATGTATAGTCGTCATTACAAAAATCGGACAGTATACAAAATTTTAGTTTGGTGTCGGCGGGAGGCTCAGGTGAAACTCATCTTAATCTTTCTCATTTGTCCTGTTCATCAGTTGCTTTATCGAGCAAATATACCTCGCCATTTTAAATGTCGCGCCAACTGGGGATTTAGTGCAACACGTACCATCGGAGAATAGAATGATCGAGAGATTCAGGACGAACGAACATCTGGGACGTCCATCTTTGTGCCCTCGAGCTGCGGAATTATGGTGATGGTTCACGTTCGACAGCAGAACGACGAATGCCATAGTGCGCCGACACGACTGTCGAACTATGGCCTATAACTGCGGAATTTTGGTGACGGTTCATGTTCGACACCAGAACGACGAATGCCGACACGACTGTCGAACTATGGCCTATAGCCACTATTGTTATCGTCAAATTCTTCCGCGTGCATTAGTTCGGTCGGGAGAACACTGAGGATGGGATACGTTAGGTGCCGTTTCTCTTACACCAACCGCGTTGTACGTAACCATCAATATTTCTGAGAAAAAACACTGTGGACTGTACCAGTTGTCACGTGAATGAGCACATTATCGTCTTTTTTGCCTTGCGTCGATTCAGATGGAGATAGAAATCATAGGATAGGTCAGGTGAAACGGCGAATCACAATGAAACAGGTTTGTTACGTAGCGAGACAAAAGAGTGGTAGCGGTTGGGTTTCTGTGTGCAGCATCGCTGTGGAATTGTCAGAGGTTTCAGTGGTAAGTCACTATCGCAAGCATCTGCTTTTCTGGGTCGCTGTCCGCCCATCCTCCGGCCACGTTGCACAAGATGCTCAGGGGCGTCACTGTGTTCGGTCAACTCGACCAAGTCTCGGCAAATGAAATCCCGTAAACGTGTGAACTCTTTCCAGTGGCAAGTAATCAGTGCTCGAAATGCTCTGCGAAATGTCGACCCAACAGCACAGTAAATGATAAAATTTATGGACAAATTTAGGATGAACAAAAAGGTAGATATATAATACGCGTCTGCCACGGGCCATGATAAGTACATTTGACGGTGATCCGTAAACTCAAGTATGGTCTGGGTGGCTATCATGATGAAACTGGGAACACTGAGTACCCAAAACACCATGGAAACAAGAAAAAGCCGAATGGTCAGTTGACGTTCGCTACGCCTTGCCTCGACATGACTTTGAGCCATTAGGTTTCCCGGTTCGAAGGCGTGAGAATCTGTGGAAATGTTGGACACAGAAACTTTGCGGAGATTGTTTTCTCTGTGACTGGTTACGCGCAACCACATTCGACGCCGATCGGACAGAGTGGCCGAGATTTTCATGTTCTCCACCAAAAGGATGATGCCAGGTATGAGGGTCATCAGAGGAATCTCGACGACTCGGCACACGAAGAAGGTGAACCCGGGTTTGCATATGTTAATGCTGGACCCCGAAGCTTCTGTGGCTAAAAGAAAATCAGAATAGACTGTTGATTCTCTCGAGGAAAACCTCAAAACCGTTGGTTTCTACTACCCTATATTCTCCTTACTTGGAGATATTCGCATGTATCCATGCTGGGTTCACCTTAATTGCAACATGAATCGTCCATGACTACTTTAACCAAAGGTGGAAGAAAGCCTGTTGTTTTTTCGTCTGATGGCACAAGAGAGTGTTGCACAGATTATGCTAATAGGCTGAATTACGCTCATTTACGAACAAATTTGGTTTTGCGAGGGACTCATCTGGGACCCAGCTGAATCCCTCGTTTGTG